AATGATGTCCAACCTCATGGGTTAAGTTAACATGAGAACTACTAGATAGAGTTGTTAAAGTACAGATAAAAGTTGTGGAACATCTCAAGATGCAGAAGTAACCTTGGCCTAATAGAAGAATTCATGAAAGAATTCTCCTTGTCTGGCTGTCCTAGGTCTCTCATTATAGGATGAAGGTGCAGTTGGAAACTTCCCGATTGTATAAATGCTTTGGTTGCCTAAACATCCTCACTAAACTAAAATTAGGGATTGATTTTTGATAGCGAGGAAGAAGAGAGGCAGAACAAACCACCGAAGAGAATTTAAAACACAATGTCCACCTTGAAATAACTATTCCTACGTTAAAATGTTGAATATTATTTAATAAGATATAGGGAATTGTTTAAGTTTCTAACCACTGATTGAAATAATTATAATGAAAAATTAATATCATTAAAAGAAACTTCTGTAAGAGAATAAAGTTAATAAGCAAATGAAATAGGAAAAAAATAACAAGAAAGAGTTAATGTCCTTAAAATCAAGTCCTAAAATCTGTGAGAAAAACATTGGGAATCAATAACTAAACAGTCTTAAAATATCAGCAAATGAGTCCCCAACACATGCTTATTTTCTGTCTCTATCCTTCTCAGAGTAAAGGCTAATTATCACTTGAAAAAAAAATAGATCAACCAAACACAATGAGTAAAGAACAAAACATATAAAAGGAATGAATACTGTCAAATTGACAAAATCATTAGTAATGGTACTCAGGGAGAAGAAAGTTTCAACCAAACAAACTCTCTAACATTAGTAAAGTGTAAATCTATAACACTTTTATAAAGCCACCTGGCAGTCTTATTAAAACCCATTGGTTTTGAAGTAGTAAATCAACTGCAGATATTCTGACCTAATGAAATAACTTGCACTCAAAAGAAAGCTTTATGATAATAATTGCTCCTATTTATGAAGCATGTACTTTATGCACCAAATAGCCACTCTTCACAAGAGAAATGATACTCTGACACACAAAGAGCAAAGCGGTAATGTTGGAGCCCGGCATGTAAGGTGTTGACTACCTTACTTTGAATGCTCATGCTGGCAAAAGAGAAGCAGTAAACTATATTACAGTATCTTTGCATGGTGGAATATTATGTAAGCATTAAAAATGAGGTTTATTTACAATTTGCTATAATATGGGAAAGTGCACATGAAACCACAAGCAAAAAAACAGCATGCAGAATCCTACGTAAAGAATACGCTCCGAAAGGCTATATTAAAGGCCAGCAGTAGCTGTCTTTAGTGGGCACAAAAGTGGTGAGTTTGTTCTCCTTCCTTTACATATTTTCCATAAAGAACATTCACTGCATTAAAACATTTATGCTTTTCTTCATATTTTTAACTGCAAAAATAATAGTGAAAATTTGAGATAGTGAACATGCCTGATAAAATGTGAACCCCTTCAACGCCAGAGATAATCCCTATTTAAAGTTTGGTGTGTATTAATATATATTCTAGCAGATGTTAGTACATACACGGACTTATGCATAGAAATTAGATGGAGTGTATTTTTTAAGATAAATGGAATTCTATTAAATATATCATTCTGCAATTTGCTTTTTCCAGTTAATAAGATACCATAGATAGCTTTCCATTACTTTTCTAATCAGAATTTTATTTCATATCATTACTATTATCGTGAAGAATACTTTTCTATTATGCATAGAAGAAGTATGTAGGAACCAGCGGCTCTGTGCGGAAAAGGCGTATTTCCAACAGTTCTGCTACATTAGGCCTACGGGCTGGCTTTAGTTATTTGTTTCTAAGAATGAATGAATGAACGGAAAATGCCCCTGCCTAAACTCTTGAAAGAAAACATAAATTAATTGCTCTTTCACTTTTTCTTTGCCCATTTTTTTAGATGGTAAAAAGTTACAATAGTCAAATACACCTTGAAGTATAAGAGTATCATTCTGTAAAGAAAAGAATAAGCAAAATACAAAACAAAACAAAAAAAATCACACACACACACACACACACAGCATTTGAAGTATGGGACCAAGAGTGTCTCCAGGTCTTTTCATGATTTATACATGTAAATCTTATTCAAACTTGACTTATAGATATATTTCTTTGTTCTTAATAAAAGAGCAAAACTTGATACAAGAATATTTTGTTAAATATAATTATCAGAAGCTCAAGATAATGATATTTCTTCTCTACATGTGTAAGAGGCAATATGCATAAAATGCAAAATAAAAATGTCCCATTTAAACACATTATGAAGACCGAAGTGGGAAATGCCACCTGAACTTATTTTATAAATGAATTGCACGTTCTAGATTAACAAAACACATGAAGACAATAATGATCATCAGGCCCTATTTGGAGCACAGCTGGTCTAGGAGCCAGTACTCAGACTGATACACTTGGACCAAACAGACCATGTCAACTAAAGGAGCCCCAAGGGCCCTTATTCCCAGGTGTAGGCTCTTACAGTTTCAGTAGACTTCATTAAAAGTTGCTCGTGACTGAATCCCACGCATCCTAAGCTAAATTTTGTTAGGACTCACTAGCCAATGGTACATTTACATTCACTGCAAAACGGGGTCTTGGAGCACCTCAAGGACTGCATAGATCAAGGCTCAACAAACTGCAGCCTGCAGGCCACATCCAGCCTGCACTTATCTCTGCAAACAAAGTTTTCAGAAGCACAGCCATGCTCATAAACTTACAGGGTGCCAGTGCTTTCTCTCTGCCAGGATGGCAGAGACAACTTGATGCAGGAAAGACCCTGTGGTCTGCAGAGCCAGAAACACTTGCTATCTTAACCTTCTCAGAAAACATCTGCAATTCCTGCTTAGACTATTTGTAAAAGTGGTTTCTTGAACACTTTTCTTTAAGGACCTGAGTATTTCAGGTAAGGTAAAAAAAAGAAATGAAGAGTGCCCGTCTGTCCTTATTCTAGGCAGGCGTTCCTGGGCTGAGAGGCAGCACTGTTGGGGTCAGGAGTCAACGTTCAAATCCCAGCTCTGCCTCTGATAGTTGGGCTGTTTTCTTCACTTCTCTGGGCCTCAAAGTCCTCCTCTGTAAAGTGGAATCACCTCCAGGGCTGTCATGGGAATTGGTCACATCTCACTCCACACGGGGCTGGTACAGTGAGAACTTACATTAACTAACACTCTTCCTATTGTGGTGTGACACTGCGCATCCAAAACAAGCCAGGGCAGGCTCCATGTGGTCTCTGCCATCCCCCAGGTTCTGTGGTTCTCCGTGGAGGAGACGAGGCCCTCAAGTGCCAGATTATGTCCTAATTCAGACACCACAGGAAGCTGAATGTAAGTGAGCTGGAGAAAGTCACGAGATGTGAGTCCTCAATCTGTCCCTCTGTGAATGTAGGACTAGCAGGACTTCGGTCAGCCTGATGGGGTGTAGCACATGTGGGTTAAGGGGATAAATGGTACAGCCATGCTGACCCCTCACATACTTTCTTTTGAAAAGCAATTTACCTAGGGCCTTTCTGGCCCTTTTCTGGCTTAAGTCAATAGGATGTTACATTCCTGTTGTCAATAGGATGTTACATTCCTGTTGTCCTTAGGGCTATTCTCTCAGGGCCAAGGAATGTAAGATTCCTCCTTGCCAATATGAACACAAGTTATCCTGACTTTCATGACCTTTAAACAGACCAAAGATTCCAGGACTCAAGAAAACAGAATAATTAAAAGCAAAGCCTACCGAGTATAAATTTGTAAAAATAATCTGCAGTGAGAACTGTTCAGGGTGGACCAAAGTCGATGACACTTGCCTTTAGATCTTCAGCGTATCATCTTAACCTCATCCTAAGAGTAAAGTCCTCCCCACCACGCTGGGTTCCACTTGGTACCTGTGGGTAAAATCACGTGCAGCAGGGATTTAAAAATCTGATGTATTCCTGCTGTCAGTCAGGAGTTCAGAGGTGGGCCCAAACTTCCCTAAACCCCCCCCAATAAAACTGGGCCACAAAGGGGACACCATGTCACTTTCCTCTTTGAGACAGTTCATCTCTCCCTTGAGGGCACTGCCTTTTCTCTTCTCATACACTTTGCTATAATTTTACTACAGTTCATGTCTTGCTTGGTATCTTCCTGGGCGAGAACACAAGAGCTGAGAAACCCAAGCCACTAACAGGCTGGGAACTTCTCGGTGCCTCCAGACCCAATCCTAAGACTCACGTAACCACCTTCAGTACAGACAGAAACAGGAGCACAACTCCGGGAGCTGGAGTCATGGACGATGCAGAGCAAGACGTCATGTACTGGAAAGCAGGACTGGCCGCAGTGGGATGGCAATTTAGGAGACAAACAAGTCAGCAACAGAGGTGGCTCCTTCAAAAACCAGTAGACGCAATGAGACTCCATCCCTTGCCCCTTCCCCACGGGTTCCTCCCTTACCTCACTACCCCACAAGTCCTCCCATCCCTCCCTCTCTCCCCACTGAAAAGTAGGCACTGGGTGTTGTAGGTGAAGAAGAGAAGACCTGGGCTGAAGGCCGAGGACAGCCGCTGGGAGCCTGGCCATCTGAGCCCCACTTTGGAAGCTGAACAAACAGGACTGTTGGGTGGGTGTCGACCACTGGGACCTGGGGGCTGGTCTCTACACCACCAAGGTCAGAGGAATCAGGACAATATGAGGGGGACCGACCAGGTGTCGGTGTACAGCAGGGAATTAAGATACGTGACAATGTCTGTACCACAGAATAAACCAGAGCACAGCAGCAACTGCAGCAGAGACAAACCTGCAACCTGGCAGCCAGTCACACCGTGGGCCAGAAGATGCTGAGAGTCGCCAGCGCCTTGAAAGTCTCTGCACAGTGGGGCCAGCCCCAAGCTGCTTTTCCTTCAAGATTCAGGAGGAATTCTCTTTCTGAAAGTGTGCTCATTCACGGCTATTTGTAACAGTAAATATCAGTAAAGCTCATAAGCTATCACAGCATCTCAATCTCTAACACCGCTGGGTGTGCCACTTCCACGAGGACATCTTACTTACCAAGGAGAGAGAGGGCAGACACCGAACGTCCTCAGTCATGAATCACTGAACTCCACAGCCACATGGGCACTCAAGCCCCGCTCTCACACACCAATGCTTCAAAAAAGAAGGAAAGATCAGTTGGCACCTTTTAAAAGATTCTGCATTCATTGGGTATCAATTCTAGAAAGTTCCATCAATGCCCTTAGAACCAGCACAAGCTGCTAGAGCAATGCAAAACCTAGAACACAGTGTTGCACAGGATGGCTTGCTGATCACCGATGAGTGCTCCAAGTCACTATCACATGCACCAACGCGTTTCCTTCTTCAGAAAGGAGAAATCAACAATTTGATACTGTTCATCATGAGAGGACAAATGTCATGAAACCTCCAAAGAACCTGCCCATGTTATGACAATTCTTTCATTTCATCTTTTGAAACATATCCTAGCTAAAGTAAAGCGTTTCCAGAAGAAGATGAAGGCAGGAGGTATGAAAGAAACTATGCCTGAATTTTAGTTTGTACATTACTTATATATTAATTTGCCTGGTGCACAGTTATGAGACTTTGTAGGAAGAACTATAAATCGTATAAACAATTCACCTGATCAAAACCAATTAAACCTTATGTATCTCCTCATTTGAATTAATGTGTAAAAATCTGGGGAATTGAATATCGTAATGGAATGGAAAGACTACGGCAATTCCAGCCTCCCGCAGGATGCATGCACCAAAAGTTGAAATGAGGGACTTCTCATTTATCATCCTTAAAGGACATGTGTCCATTATCAGGGATGGACACCTGCCCCTTCCAACACTGCCCTTAGGGCTTCATGCTTTGGTATCCGTGTTCATCCAGTTCCTTTCTTTCTCTTCACTCTTGTCAGCTGTGGCTTCTGTCTACTGCGCATGAGAAGCACACTGATGTCGACCAGCCCCACCCACACACTTAGGGAGCAGCTGAGAACAATGAAGACAAAGTAGAGGGCAGGCTTTCCAGAACATTCTGGCTGTTCCTCCAGACAACGAGTCCCACATGGTCTGTTTCAGTAATGACCGAAAAGCTATCAGCCTACAGAAAATAATCTGAATTACAGCTGAAATTTTATGAAATATTCTATCTGCTAAACGCTGACTTGGAGGTCCTGGGGTTCAAAGCAGCAACGCTGCATCTCCATGAGGCTTCCCCATCCAGAGAGTGCTTGGGTGAGTTCATGGGAAGCATGGGGGCAACCCAAGGCAGCATCATCGGTAGGGCCTGCCACAGAGGCACCCAGCAGCCAGGTGTGCTCAGACAGCGAAGCCTCACCAACTCCAAGGTCCCAGTTGTGTCATTGAAAGCCTGTGACATCATCCTTTGGAAAAGACAAGGTGCAGATGCAACTGTTTGAGGCCAAAAGAGAGGTCAGGGAGCTCTTCCCAAGTAAGGATGCACATTCAGTCTGGGAAAAATTCCTGAGAGCAGCCAATTTCTTCTTCACAACATCCCTAATGTCTCCTTTGGGTGTGGCCGAAAAGTATGTCAGTTAGGACTTCATTATTACACAGCATGTTTGGAGACATGAATCTCCTCTCTGGAGCCCTGAAATCTGTTTTACAAGAATCATGACTAAAATTTCCCTGTATTTGTTTAGAACATAATCAAAATTTAAAGTAATAAGTTTGGACAGAGCCAAAGACCTGTCTCTGTCCTGCCATGGTTACCTGGCAATGTCTGTGAGTTCCCACTTGTCCAAATTAAATTAAAAATAGGGCGGATGGGTTTCCTGTCCTCACCCAGTGAGGTCACAGATGAGCTGGACACCTGAGACAGCTTGCAGAATACAGGCCATTCTCTGAAACAGCCAAGGAGACAAGGCCAAAAACAGCACTGAAAGAATCCCAGGAAGCAAAGAAAGCCAATACTCAGGAAGAGAGATCCCTGCTGAATCCAGGCAGGGACAGCCAGACAGTCCCAATCTTCAGGTTTCAAAAGCCAGCCCCTTCCTTGAGAAATGCCACCTTGAGTGACCGTGGTTTGGGGAAGACACAACTGTCCTCAGAAGATGAAGTCTAGGAAGTTGGTCCCAGCAGCAGGAGTCCGGGCAGACACCCTACAGGGTTCTTACTGCGCCTGTGGCAACATCAAGAAGGATTGGGGGAGTTTACCATCGGGTGAGACAAGGCCACACAAGCAGCAGGTGCACCTTCAGCCCTTGGCTGTGCAGGCATGGCCGGGGCTACCCACCCCTCCACGCACACACACAGGTGCACAGGCGGCTGACTCAGGGCAGAAACCGTGTGCAGCCCTCGGGTCTGAGCTGAGCTGAAGGAACGCAGGACAGTCCTCAGGTAGGACAGCACAGGGCACCTGTCTTCCCTCACTAGGACCACCAGCGTGCTGACACATAAACCAGGGATCACAGACATTTCTTTTAGAAACTGAGCAGGAAGTCAGAAGGTAAAGAAACTCCAAACGTTGGAGGCTTACCCCAATTGGAAGTGGGAATATTTTGAAGCAGGACATTTTTTGTCTTTTGGGGTTTTTTTTGGCAGGAGTGGGGGGTGCTGTAGGCAGGACAGATGGTCTATACTAGTGATGTGGACTTTGGTTAGGGCTTTGTGTCCTGCGCGCTCAGCCTGACCTCTGGAGGAGCTAGAGACTGCAGTCAGTCAACAACATCCATCTGGTCCATTCCCAATAAAACCCTGGACACCAAGGCCAGGGTGAGCGTCCCTGGTGGCCAAGACTCCACCTGTGTGGTCCTAGAGGAATAAAGCCCTGTCCACAGGAGAGACTGGGAGAGGACAGCTGGAAGTTCAGGCCATCTCTCCTGAGCTCCGCCCTGTGCAGCTCTGCATTGCTGCTTCAGCGTCCTTCAACGGAGGTCAACCATTACCATGAACCTAAGAGCTTTTCTAGGTTCTGTGAGTCCGTCTGGTGGCAATCTTGGGGCCACCCAACTGGAAAAGGAAGGATCAAATGCAAAAGTAACATGTGTGAAAGAAGGCTGGGATAGTGTGCCTAGGTGGAGATGAAATACACAGGGAAACAGAGTGTCAGCTGAGGCCTGGGACCCGAAAGTCTTGGGGAACAGAGACATCGTTTGGAGAGACTGGTCAGAGGCTTCACTGCAAACAGACAGGGGTCCACACATGGCTGGAGGTGCAGTTGGGGCCTGAAAATCAATGCTTGAAACTTGGAGCTCCAAATGGCATTTCACTTCAGAGATAGATAGATCGGTAGATAGATAGATGGATATATCCCCCCTCTTCCCAGTTATACACCAGCTATCTAAAATAGATTTTTAAATATTTTAAATAAAAGAACTACAAACCATAGTCCATATTTGCAAAACAGTAATTGTACAGAAAAGCAGGGTAGAAACCCAATGTACTAAATAAGGAAAAAGTTTCCTGGAAGTTTTCTGATAACATAAACACCGTAGGATCTAAATTTTCTATCTAGAAATTAAAATACAAACTGAGTAAAGGATGAGATTTTTGGTGGCTCCCAAGTGCAGTTCCACTGGTTTGGGGGCAGGGGCTACCAGAGAACCAGCACCTGAAGGTGAGTGGCAGATGGAGCAACCTCTTCACTCTGGCTGTGCACACTGCCCCCTTTCTGTCACTGTCCCCAACCTGGCTGCCCAGAGCTCCAAAAGGACATCTCTTCTTCTTAAAGGAGTGGACAGCACCTGGAGAAATTAACATGTTTAGGGTAAAAAGATGCTGTCATCAGAATACCCCAGGTGTCAAGAAAAGAAAGGGAAGGTTGGCAACAGAAAAAGTGGGGTGACGAGGGACCGGGGGAGGACAGAGTGCACAGTGGAGAGAGGGAAGGAGAAGGAAGGACAGACAGGAGGGAAGGAGGGGAATGAGGCCAAGACCAGAAGTAGCCAGCAGAGATACTCAGATTCCAAAATTTTATGACCTTTCCTTTTGAACATAAGATATCATTATAAAATATACTTTATTGCTTATCTTTAAAATAGAATTTATTTTATGACTTTGAAGCTTACAACATGATGTCATTGGGGGAATATACCAGGACAGTGAAAGGGAAGTAATGACTGTCACATCATCTCAGTTACTTTTTTTGGTGACAAAAGCCGCTAAATGCTACTTATTTAACTAAAATGTAAAATATCATAATTTTATTGACTCAGTGTCCACACTGCCCAATAGCTCTGTCTTAGTGAAATGCAGGCAGCCTGAACTCCAGTGGGAGGGAGCTGCCTCCACAGTCCTGAGTAAGCGTCCCAGGGTTTCAGAGAACAGCATGAGGCTGGAGACAGAGCTCAGTGGTAAAGCACTTCGTTGCGTAAGCAAGGCCCTGGGTTCAGTTGGACAGGGAAAAGAAACTGGAAGGGAAAAGCAAAGAGCACATAAAGCTTGAGGTGAGAAAGAAAGCAGAATGCCAAGTCATGGCTGTACAGAGCTCTAAGAAACAACCGCCCATGTCCTCCTCTGTGCCAGCACCAGCTAGTATCAGAGACTCATCCGCAGAGTGTGTTCGGATCTCTTGAATGTAAGATTGCTGACCATTTCACACTCAAGACAGGGTCAAGATTCAAATGGAAAAGTCAGTTTGTTTTAAAGACAGAGATTCCTTGATTTGTCCACAAGCACAGTCGAACACTATTTAGCACTGGGATATTTAGGTGCTGAGAGCACAGTAAGAGATGTGATGGATTTGCCATGGTGGACTTTCTTCCTGTTTCGGATGCTCCTTTGCCTCTAGGCTGCCAGCACTGGCCAGCACAGGGTCACTGTGTGGTACCCAGCTAAGCTCCATGCTGACAAACAGCATCTGGATGACACAGTGCTCTCACAAAAAAACCACGTCTGTTCAAACAGTGGAGGATGCAGAAAGGCAGAGATGTCCCACAAACACATGATACAACAAAGTCACAGGACAAGGAGGCATTGAAAATCAAGTCTTGAGACTTGTGATAACAGGACGATTTTGTGGTTTTTTTTGTTTGGTTTTGTTTTGCCATTTCAGTACAGAATGAGGCCAAGAATGGCATGCCTGGGACCATAGGGATGTGGCAGGTCTCTGCCCTCAAAGAGTTGGTCCTCTGGAATGCCTTCTCCCCAAATCAGAAATGATCTCAAAAATTAGGTCATTATGTA